AATGATGATGCGGAGGAGGACGTGAGGAAAAAAGCTGAAACTTTAATACATAATTTTTTATTAAGAACTGTTTTGTAATTATTCTTCTACTAAAACTAGTTTTTTTTTTCAGATAAATTTAGATAAATAGATGAATTTTTAGTTTTAGATAAATTCAAGTTGAATGTATTAGTGGTTATGTTCAAATATTTATTTTAAAAAATTACTTATTTAAATAAATATTAATTTTTATTTCCAGCTACGAGTGATGGAGTGTGATGGGAGTCATTTTAAATTTATTTACAAGAAAGGATCTAAGTTGTCGTCTACAACTCAAACTTTTGTTGTGTTAGTGTTTTCATCTTGTTTCACGTTTTTTATTTGCCATTTGAAATTTATCTCCTTTTGTTTCTTGTTTTTTAAACATTCTTAATATGTTCAAGAAACGTTCAATTGCTGGCACAACACAATAACATTTAGGCAATTACACTTGATTGCACAAATAAAGTAATTAAACTTTTAACAAAATAATTACGGATAAAATAGAAATTTTGCATATGGTAGTATCATAAATTTAAAAGTGTGTTTGGTGACATGTAATTACTGTTATAAGTAACTATAGAAAGTTTGTCAGATTGATAATATATTAATTAAAATTATGGAAAGTTAAACTTATTTGTATGTTGTTAAATTATTGGAAATAATTAGATTGAATTGTTGATAATATATAATAATAAAAAAAAATAAAATGAAATAATTAAGTTCATAAAATTTATAAAATTTTAAGTTTTGAATAATGATGTTAATGAGCTAATTATTTGAGATCAGCAACGTGATGATACAAACGGATGATTAACGGCGGTTGGTTCCAGTGTGGGTTTGCTGTATCCATATTTGTAGTTAACAGAAACTTGCTTACTGTTGACGACGTTAGGTGAATGAGATAGAACGGCGACGCGGTATTGAGTGAAGAGTTGCAGGACGTGGGCGAAGTTTTCGTATTGATCTTTGGTTTATTTGTGAGGATAAGAAGAACTTCTTTTATTTTTAATTTTGACGGGTTGGAGTAATGGCAGAGTATACTGGTGTAAATACTAACTGATTTTAATGATTTAATATTATTAGTTTCTAAAAACAGAGGTTTTTAAATTGATCGAGGTAAACTTTTATTTTATTTTGGAAGGGTTTACTGAGAGGAAATTTACTGACACAGTACAATTTTCATTAATAATCTGGTTAATTTTTGTCAACTTTAAACATTTGTAATTTGAAGTTTCAAACTGTATAATCAATTTTTTCTTAATGAATTAATAAAGTGATTTTTTCCGCTAAGTAACTACGTCTTTTTCACAAGGGGCTTTTCTGTCTTTGATTTAAATTTTTGAATATCAATTTCAACTATTTTTGTTATTGTTGGGTTTATGAAATAACGATTGTACAACTTGCTTTAATTTTTAAATTGAAAATATCTGCGTTCATCCAATCTTTTTTGTTCTCACTTTAACACTTTAGAGAAACAAGCTTGTTGAATATATTGTCTAAGATTTTGCAAAGAATTGTTGCGAAATCTAACAACTTTGTTATTTTGATCAAATAAGTTGGCAGTAGAAAGTGTTTTCGTTTTTATTTTTGTTACCCTCATTAGATGAATTGAAACTGGATTGAATTGATGGAACACTTAAGTTTACCTAGATTAAATCATTAAAATCAGTTAAAAGTTTTTGATGATTGTGGTCTAAAGTAAATGTCAGCCTGTGTGATAACCTTTGTAAAATCAACATATTATAAACAATTAAAATAAAGTAATTAAACTTTTAACAAAATAATTACGGATATAATAGAAATTTTGCATATGGTAGTATCATAAATTTAAAAGTGTGTTTAGTGACATGTAACTACTGTTATAAGTAACTATAGAAAGTTTGTCAGATTGATGATGTATTAATTAAAATTATGGAAAGTTAAACTTATTTGTATGTTGTTGAATTATTGGAAATAATTAGATTGAATTGTTGATATAATATAGTAATAATAAAAAAAATAAAATGAAATAATTAAGTTCATAAAATTTATAAAATTTCAAGTTTCGAATAATGATGTTAATGAGCTAATTATTTGAGATCAGCAACGTGATGATACAAACGGATGATTAACAGCGGTTGGTTCCAGTGTGGGTTTGCTGTATCCTTATTTGTAGTTAACTGTTGACGACGTTAGGTGAATGAGATAGAACGGCATCGCGATATTGAGTGAAAAGTTGCAGGACGTGGGCGAAGTTTTCGTATTAATCCTTGGTTTATTTGTGAGGATAAGAAGAACTTCTTTTATTTTTAATTTTGACGGGTTGGAGTAATGGCAGAGTAAGGCAGATGTCAAGGATAACAAATGCCTTGGAGAATTAAAACGTGGAAGCTGAAAAGCAATATTCATCGAGAAAGATTTCAACAGATTGCTGCAACACAGTTAGACCACCAATTGCAAATCAGTACAGGTTGGAGTACATACAAAACCGTTTAGATGAACGCTGCAACTCCAGTTTGTGGGGAAAACTGGTACAAAACGTCAGCATAAACGTGACACTTGGTGGTGGAATGACAGTGTACAAAATGCAATAGCTGAAAGGAAAGGAAAGAAAAGAAATGGCAAAAATCAAAGTCTGTTGATGACCATAAAATTTTCCGTGAGAAGAACAACTATGCAAGACATCAAGTTGCACTGGCTCGGACATATCAGTGCAGAGAGGTGAAAGGTGAACAAATAAAATCTCTGTATCGTATAGCAAAACAAGCAAAGCGTACGAAAAAAGACATAGTTGGTGCCTCATGTATTAAAAATGTTCTGAATGCGTTGAACATTATTTCGGCCGCATTATTTCGCTAAATTTTTATTCCCTTTTTTAAATTTTTAAACTCGTCTAATAACTCAAATTTTGTTATTTTTATGGCGTTACGAAGCACGCATATCATCTAGTATCATGTATAATATATGTGTGTACGTATCGTAGATATATAAAAATATACTTAATAGTAGTAAAATGAAGGAAATTGTCAGCATTCATTTCAATCACAGAAATGCACAGGAATTGCTGCTACATTCAAAAGACGTGGCTCATTGTGAAGAAAAATTTCCTTTAGTCTCCCGATCTTGCACATATTAGGTTACAAATACTACAAATACAAACTTACTTATAACGAAACCCTATATAACGAATTTTGTACGAATTTTGAAATTTTTGCACATAAAACTGTTTCTGTAGCACGAAAGTAATTTCTCTATAGCAAACAAAAATTTGTAAATGTTAAAAGAAATTTCCAACCAGCAAACATTTTATAAATTGATATGAGCGGTGTTTTTATACTCCTTTAATTTCCTAGAACCATATTAGTTGTTTCTTGCTCTAGTATTCTCATAATTTTTGCGTATTCTACCTTTTTGAAAAATTATCAGTCAAGTGGGAATGTAGTGTAAATGCGAATGCGAATGACAATGCGAACATATTCTTCTATGAGGTTGCCTTTCAAACACGACGATCTCAAATCAGCTTGGCTATACGTACACCAGAAAAAAGATACTAAATATACATAAATATTTTGAAATAAATCGATTAAAAAAGTAACTAAAATGAATAAAATTTTTGAAATTTTTTAAAATATTCATTAATAAACTATAAAAATTGTAAAGTTTGATGAATGGAAGCTGAAAAATGTGCGCGGGTGTGTTAAAAGGCCTGCATAGGAGTTCTAAGTATATGTATTTTTCATTTATCATTTATTAGTATTACAATTTGTCCACACGTGTTGATGTTGGTCTTGTAAGGTCCATTCAATCTATGCTCTAAGGACGATTTTAAAGCTTAACTCATTTTTTTTCTCTTTCCTTAATGTACTTACATCTTTCGGCAACTTTTCATACCATCTCATTCTATATTTTCATCATAAGTTCTACCGTCCTATTATTTTTTCGAAATTAGTTTGCTGAAAATTTGACATATGAAAATTGCTTGTTTATGTATTATATCACAGTTGTGAAGTTTACTCTGCTGATTTGATTGGAGAACCTGTTATTGAAGTATTAGTCGAACAGCAAATTTCATTAGCAACTACGGATAAAATATGTTCAACATGTGGTAAAGAAAATGATCAACTCAGAAGATGTACAAAATGTTTCAAGATATCCTATTGCAATCAGTCAGTATTCATTTTGTTTCTTTTCTGAGGTACTTATAATTGTTCATAATTAAATGTCATAATTGAAATTTTAAATAATGAAAACGTTATTATCGAAAACACATATCTCCCTTCTAGCTCAAAATATTTTTTATTTTTCTGTTTCTATCATTTGTTAGTAATCTTTTTTTACCAAATTAGGCGATCAATTGTATCCATTTTGTTTAAATTTAGAGCTTTCATGTCTTGCTCGATTGTTTGCGACCAGGACTTCTTTGGACGGCCTTTGGGACGTGTGCCAGGTACTTTTACATTTGCAAGAGAAGTTATGGCACTGTTTCCACTTCGTTTGACATGACCAAACCACTGCAGACGGTGTTGCCGGCATTTGTCCTCTAAACCATCTAAACCAGAACGACGCATGATTTTGGTAGATTTGATGTGGTTCTTCTGACTAATTCGTTGCATCCTTCGGAGCATTTTTATATCGGCTCAGTGAAGTTGTTGTTCCAGTTTGGTTGTCATTGGCCATGTTTCTGCACCATATAACAAGACCGGACTTACCAAAGATTTATAAAGTCTTGATCGTAGTGGTAGTGGTCAATTTATGTCTTAGACATAACATAAAACTGCATCCACGCTGCCTTGCATGCTTTTGAGCAAAAGGCTAGGCCCATCGCTTATAACTAGTGGTTGTCGTCAGTATGGTTGTCCGGATGGCTAGCGGTTCTTTGACAAAAATTCAACACTATTTTTGGCCGTCTTTTGACCATTCAAGAATAGTTTTTTTTTTCTTTGTCTGAGTTGATATGACAGTCACCATTCGATTTCCAACGGGTCTCCTGTAAATTCTTCTCACTCGAGCATTTCTGCGTTTTCCATGCTGCGGCCAGTCATTGATCCAATACTGAGCGTTCCAAGTCTAAGAACCATGGAGGGGCCATTCTGAATTTTTCTGCAACATTCCTCCGCTTTTGCATACTTCTCAGGGATGCTTAGCACCCCTTGACCACTTAAGACCTGCTGGAGACTATGGGCCGTTGTTTTTGTTTGTGATGGTATAAAATAAATTTTGGGGAAATTTTTTACATCTGGACACCCATCCTGATGACAGCTACCGGTTATAGGCGGTTATAATTTTTGCTCAAAAATCTCTATTTACTGCTTCCATTAATACTTCCTTTAATTTTTCTTTTTTTGAATGTCTTGCTGTATCTCTTAAGTCTTCTTCTTTATCTTTTTATATTGCTGTAATCTACCGCCCTCTTTCTTCTTCTCTCACTTTATTTTTAGAAGACTCACTCGCTGAATATCTACTTTTTTTTCTATTTCTTTCTACATTTCTGGTGATTTCAACTTCCACTTCAATAATTTATCATGTTCTTACACTCGTAGATATTTTGTCTCTTTTTAACTTAACTCAATATTGTTCTTTTCCTACCCATACTTCTGGTAACACTATTGATTTTATTATAGCTTCATCTTTTTCTATGCCTTTTAATATCTCTGCTAGCTCTGTTTCTTATTCTAATCACCTTCTTTTTGAATCTGTTTTTTCATTAGATTTTCTTCCTTCAAATTCATTTATGTCTATTTCTAAAAGATGCTGGTCTTATCTTAATAAAGATATTTTTCTTCAATCTCTTACTGTAACTATTTTTGATACTACCTTATTTTCTGATGTTGATGATTTTGTCTATGCTTTTAATATCTAATATACTTCTATTCTTGATAAGCTTATTCCTCTTAAATCTTTTACTTATAGGCTTCATTCTCGCAAGGCTCCTTGGTTTGATTATGCTTGTGTAGTAGCTAAGAAAACTGTTAGAAGACTGGAGAAAGCCTATAGGTTAAATCCATCTAACTCACTTTATTCTATCTATGAATCTGAATTGATTAATTATGAATATCTACTATTCTCTAAACACTACTTTTCTTAGAAATTCTATAACATCTGCTTCAACATCTAAAAATAGGTGGTCTGTTCTATCTAAACTTCTACATAAAAAATCCTCTCACTCATCTTTTTCTGCTCAACAGTCTCATGACTTTTTTGTAAATAAAATTACTTCTTTAAGAACATCTAATTCTAATTTTTCTTTTCATAACTTTACTAAACTTACTACTGAATCTTTTTCTGATTTTACTCCAATAAATCTTTTAGAACTAACTAAAATTATTAATTCTATGTCGTCTACAACCTGTTCTCTAGATCTACTTCCTTCTAATTTACTTAAAAAAATTTCTTCAATATTTTATCCAATCATTCTCAAATTAGTTAATTTATCTCTTTCCACCTCTAAATTTCCTACTTCTTATATTCTTATATTCTATTGTTATTCCTATTCTTAAAAACTCATCCTTAGATCGTACCTCTTTATCTAATTATAGACCTGTAACTAATATTACTTTCATCTCTAAAATAATAGAAAAAGTAATTTTTAATCAACTGTCATCCTATCTAGACTTTAACTCCTTGCTACCTGTATCTCAATCTGGTTTCAGACCTGCTCACAGTACTGAAACTTTTTTACTTAAAATACACAATGATATCCTTCTCTCTAGTGACAATAGTAATCTTACTCTTCTTCTTGTTCTTGACTTTTCCTCGGCTATTGATACTGTTGACCATACTATTCTCTTGAGACTGCTGCATCTTTTTTTTAATATTACTGATTCTTGTTTATCTTGGTTTTCTTCTTATCTCTGTAATCGTTTTTCTTCTGTTGTTCTCAATAATTCTACTTCTAACTTCTCTACTCTTACTTTCGGGGTACCTCAGGGTTCTATCCTTGGCCCTCTTCTATTTATACTCGATACTTCTGAACTACTTCGTATTATTAATAACTTTTCTTTCTCTAGTCAACTATATGCTGATAATTCTTACCTCGTATTATTAATAACTTTTTTTTTCTAGTTAACTATATGCTGATGATTCTTATATTTATACTTCTTTTCCTCCATCTAATCTCAATAGTGTTCTTCATAATTTATGTCTTTCTTCAATTATCGCTTGGTCTGACTCTATGTGTCTTAAACTTAATCCTTCTAAGTTTGAATTAATTTGTTTTAATAAATCTAAACACTCTATTACTATTCCTCCTATTATCTTACCTGATTCTAAAACTCTTGATGTCTTTCATAAGTTTCGTAGTCTAGGTTTTACCTTTGATTCTACTATGTCTCTCTCTTCTCAGATTAATAGTGTTGCTAGAAGCTCTTACTTTCATCTACGTAGTAATGGCAGAGTATACTGGTGTAAATACTAACTGATTTTAATGATTTAATATTATTAGTTTCTAAAAACAGAAGTTTTTAAATTGATCTAGGTAAACTTTTATTTTATTTTGGAAGGGTTTACTGACTACTTCAGAGCGGATCTCAAGACCCATCTGTTTTCAAAATTCATTGAGAAGCGCTGATGAACATCGCGGAAATAGCGCTTTATAAGCTAATTGATTGATTGAATTGATATATTGATTTAAGGCAGTTTTTTGTCATGCCCAGAACCTAGTTGTATAACAATTTTTTAATAATTTTAAAGTTCAATAAATTATTATTTTGGAAATATTTATTCTCTCACAGAATCTGTCAGCGCATGGACTGGCCAAATCACAAAATAAAATGTCACAAGGAGAATAAATTTGTGGGATGTCCATTTATTATAAGTATGGCCAGATCAAAATTAACGTACCAACATTTTGTTGAAATCGCGGAAATCGTTTCAAGGTTACCATTTTCAATCAATTTGACTTTTTATCATTTTAAAATTAGATTACTTGTGTTACTAAACTGTTTTTCGTTTTTATTTCGATTTTTTGCTTCGTCTCACCGAAAAGCTACACGCAAATCATTTACATGTTGTCAAATACTTTCGATTGTCTGTTGGCCATACTCCTTTTCCAATCTTTTTATTTACTGAGGCAAATTATTCACTACCTAATGTAAGATAATCTGGCTCAAAGTGCAAACTCACATTTACTAAAAATACTTCCGTTGGAGTATGATAAACCTCACCAGCCATGCTTGCGTTATAATCTCTCTACTAGCATATTTCTACCCTATTATTTTTTAAGCTTTGTACACAATTTATTCGGCGGTGGTTTAAAGATATAATTAACAGTCCGTCATGTGATGTCGTTTTTTTTGTCCCGTTTAACCTCTACACTACAATGTATGTAAATATCAATGTATCATAGTCAAATAAAAATTATCCGGCTCCAATTCCGGTCCTTCAAAAATTCCGGGTCCAAGAAAAAATTTTCAATTTTTGTTTTATTATTTTACTGAAATATCACTTCTAAATGAAAAATACTTTAAAAATAATTGAAATAAGTCAGAAAAAAATAAAGTGGTTATTTTTGGCATTTATTTATTATCAGTATTAAAGATGATTACATATCCCTTCACATATCTTTTCAAAACACCATCTTAAAAATTATGTTTAGGATAAAAAATTTCAAATTAAAACTTTCTGGTGTCGGAGTCAGATGAAAAATAATAGACTCTGACTCCGACCTTTCAAAACATTTTGACTTCGGCAAAAATCTCCGACTCCGACACTGGTAAATATCATGTTGACGTTTTTGTAGTCACCATTAAAGGTATAAACACTAAAGCCTAAAAAATTCATCATTTAGACAGGTCATTAAATTACAAAAATTTTGAAGCATGAGTTTTTCTTGTTAAATTAATTAAAATTCCAAAACAATTTTAAAAAAATTAAACCTTAAAAAATAATCAAAATTTAACATAAAAACAATAAAACTGAAATGGTTTTAAAAATAACCTTATACAGACTTTTCCCTATTTCTTTGGAGTTTTAGGCATCGCCTTTTTTTGCCGTGGATTGTACAAGCCAGGCTAGGTTGTTTTAGTTGAACCTGAGCTTGATGTTGAACCGAGTTTTGGTCTCGTTCTGATTCGCGCGTTCCTTATGGACGTTGTCCAATCGTTAACGGAGTTCGACGTATTTCGTTACTGGAGAACACCGTATTTTAAGTATGCTGTGGTTTTTAGTGTAGTTCTAAAATGGACTAGATGTAGTAGTGGTGTGGGTGACACTCTGACATGCCATCAGGAACAGGGGAATCTGCCGGTCCCAGTTTTGTTAGTTCTTTTTGCTTGATGATGGTCTGATTGAAGCGCTCTACCATTCCGTCAGACTTTCCGGCACATTTCCTCAAATAGTTGCAATTTTAATACCGCAGAATCAGAGGTGATTTGATTTTGGTGGACACGGCGATTTACCCACAGTGGTGTAGTAGAGCCAATGTCAACACCAGAAGTCACCAGTTTAGTTTATGTACTGGTAAAAAGGATTGTAGAAAATATTTTTTCTCGAATCGAGTTGTTAACCCGTGGAACACATTGCCTAATGATATTGTTAATGCTCCGTCATTGTATATTGGATATTTTTAAAACCAAACTCGATTTATTTCATGGTGACAAAAACTATTTTATATCTTAATATTAATAAATAAATAAATATAGATGAAAAATTTTTATCTGAACATTCGCTTTTAATGATTGTCATTTCTATTTTTCCTTCCATAATAATAATAACAACAACAATAATAATAATAATAATAATTATTATAATAATAATAATTTGAATTCTTTTATTATTGCAAAAGACATACAATCAAATCAAAATAGATTAAATGAAATAAAATAAAATAAAATAGAATAAAACAAATTGTTAATATTGTAATAAATTGTTAATATTGTTATGCACGATCCACCCATGCTCCTTGCCAAAAGTAAGTGCATAGGAGTAAAAAATATATTTTAAAAATAGTTTACGCAGTGTTCCTATCACAATAAATTCCGTATGATGAGCGAATGATAGTGTTAATTAATTTTCCATCTAACGAAATTGGCCAAGGTATTTGAAAGAGAGATAAGTTAAAATTATTAAAAAAACCTATTGGCGAAATTTCTAATGAATTTACTATTACAGAACAGTCATTGTTCAAATATGAATTTAGATTTATGTATTTTTGACGCTTGTACTGTCTTGATGTCAGAAGGTTTGTTTCGTAGAAGGTTCTAAAACTTTTATTTTGTTGAATGGCAGAATGGCAATGTCGGGACGTAGCGAGTTGAACGGTGGCGACATAGGTCGAATATTTTTAATTTTCAGATCTGCAAACAAGCAGCAGTCAGATGGAGCGTGCAACTGCAACCAATTGAGGATCAACGTCAATACCTTGTTGTGTCTCTCGGTGTATCTCACTAGGGCTTTAGGTGAACTACAGTTTGACACAACATTGCAGAGCTGGCACAAAGGAGTTGTAGATTTTTTCCACGTGAACAGGTTCGAATTTGTAGGCAACTGTTGAACTAAATATTTCCTTACGAATCTGTACAGTACCTCGGGTATATAATTTGTAACTTATGACCAACGTTTGTACGGGGGTAATAAGTTCAACAATTGATTTGACTACAACTCCCTGTGTCTGCTATGTCAAGACATGGTTGAGGCAAGATTCTACTCGTGTTCGAGGGACTGCTTTAATGGTGAGCCTGAGTCAGCCAGCAAACTGTCAGACCTGCTGGAGATTGGAGTTGTTTCTCGCCACAAACATCGAATTTCCTCGCTGGTGTTGTTTTTAAGATAACTGCGAATTTTTGGTTTTGTTTTATCTGCAGTATCTTTCAGTGAAGTGATGTTATTGCCGCCGAACTTCATTGGTAGTAAAAGCATTTCTGCTACGCAGCTACTGATTGGCATAGCGAGCCATTCCCTAACATTTTTCACTATTAGATATCAAGATTAGACGATATCCATGTTAGTGAGAAGTTGTAGCTGCCTAGTTCAAATTGTAATTGTGTAGGAAATATTTTAAGATTTGAAATTTTTGCTGTGGCGTGATGTCAAGAGAAGAGACAATACTTAACAGGCTTGACAATTTCGAGACAACCGTTTCTTTGGCTTTTGTATTTTTGCCTTCAAAATCAAACAATCTGCCCAGATACACAAAGCTGCCACCAAGCTCAACATTGGGAATAACATCGTTTTCGATCGTCAGTCTTGGGCAAAACTGTTCGTATACTCCATCTTTTTTCTCATGCCAAATGAGCTGCATTTGTCTATTCGCATATGCATGTTGGACCATCTAAACCACGCGTGGTTTAAATCAAGCAATCAATCACTTTCTGAGCTGTAAGCAATGATTGCCAAGTCATCGGCAAATTGGAGCCATGATTTGGTCTTTAGCCCAGACGTTGGACTCCAAAAGTAACCACAGCCCGCGTACTCTTGAGTTTCAAGGACTTTCATTAGTGGGTTGAAACATAAGTTGAAGAGTAATGGAGAGCATGGGTCACCCTGGAGGACATCTTTTTCAACTGGTAGTGCTGGTTGTTGATTGAAACTACTGTTGAGTACTCTGAGAAAATTTCCATTATCATCAATTTAAATAGTTGCGGTACATGATGAAACGTTAATATTGAGTTAATGAGGAAATGGCTCACTTTACCAAATGCATTTTTTAGGTCGAGTAAGGCCACGATAATTGTTCGTTGGTTTCTTTTGGCATCGTTTAACAGATGGGCCAGCATTTGTGTGTGTCAATCCGTCGACCTTAAGATAAAATCCTTTTTGGATATTGGTATTAATAAATTTGTTTTGGCGAAGAATGTGATGCAATC